AATGCATACACTCCAGCAGCTCTGTATATGCCCCCAAAAAATTAGTTGCACCAGCTTCTGGTAAAGAAAGAGGATGATAGATGCTGGGATTAGCTTTGTACATTTTTAAATTAATACTATTGTTGTATTTATGCCGGGCTCCAACAAATCAATTCTGAAATGGTTTCATTAAAAATTTAAATTGCATTTGGTCCCCAATTTCTTCCTTTTTGCCTCTCTGATCTGATAAGAGACTTTCCTTCCCAAAAACACGGCCAAACCAAGGAATATGCTGTCAACCTAAAGAAACAGATGCCCTGTCCTCATTTACACACAACAGTGGCACAATCATGCCCCTTAAACACTAATTTTTCCTCTTGGCCCATGCCATCAGCAACACTGCAGCACCCCAGTGCAGGCCCCACCCTGTTTCTACATACATCATGACATCTCACAATGACAAAATGGTAACCTCCTATGGACACCACCAGACCCATGCCAAGGCCTTCATTTCATCCCCCAGCCCTGATGGGACAGGCATAAGTCATCCCTGGTTGTACTGATGTTTTCCCTCTTCTCCCAACACCATCCAAGGTGTTCTAAACACCTTGAGGTGTCTAGAATCTGTTCAGCTTTGTTCCCTTGGAGGGAAATTAGTAGATTGGCAGACCCTGGATATGGAGGTGGGGTAGAGATCAGCGACGGGGCAGAAAATATCACACTGGCATAGTTTGGGGCCAGCTCAAGAGACGGTGGAGACCAGTTTAAGTCAGTTGTGAGGAAAGGCCCTTCCTTAGAGCGATGAGAAAGGATCTGCGATAGGTTCTACACCAGAACCTGCCCTTTTGGACCCTCCATCCACATGCTAACTTCTCCCCTTTGGCGGAAGCTTTAGTGGGTTTTGTAGCTAATTGAAGAAGAAAATAAGCTACTTTTTCATGAGCCACAACGAGGAAGTGGGCAGATTTCTCCCTGGCTGGACTGCTGGACTTCACACTGACCGATCTTACTTTAGGAATACAGATTACTTAAATGTGTACATATTTCAAGTGGTTTTAAAAGCCAGGTGATTTGGCCTAACAATCCACAAAAGCTTCTGCTAGGTATGTGAAATCTAGTCTAAGTGTGTTTTGTCTTGGGGCATTTAATGTTGTTTATTTACCAGCCCAATTGTTTGCTGTGGTGTATAACTGGAGAATATAAATGGGATTTGTGAAGACTGAGCACCCTTCCTGAATATTTACAAAGCTGGTGCGCTTTGTCCTCTACAGGAACAGCATATGGTTGGAAAAATGCTGGAATGCAGAGCAGGACTCGGGGAGCGGGATGGGCAGGCATTACCTACCACCAGAAGTTGTTGTTGGTTCGATCTGCCACCCATCTGAGCAGGTAAGGTGAGTGGGAGGGTCCAACACAGCAAAGACCCCATTTCGTGCAGATCGCAGAGGTCAGATATGCTGGCATGGTTATGCCCAGAATACGTTCGAGTCACTATGTAGCTTAAGATTTTTGTATCCTTGATTACGTTCTGCTGTTTCTTAGGATGCTGTGCAGTTAATTATTTTTTGTTTAAAAACACAGCCACCAGCATCAAGATTCTCCTTCATGAACACAGCTTAGCCACTATCTTGTCCTTGATCCTCTTTAATCATTTCCTCTAAATCCTAAACCCTCTCTGACTATAATTTCTTCCTTATAGATGGGTGAGTGAAATGCATCAGAGAGTAAAACTGGGGGGGGGGGGGGGGTTCTACAGTAGACTGATTTCTCTCCAGAGGTTAGATCTCAAGCCGAAGCATGACCCTCTCCCTCTTGGAGGAGTTGTGGGCTTGATAGCGTCAGCATTGCATGCACATTGGGTCATGTGCAACCTGCAGCTGAAAACAGACATGGGTTTAATGCTGTAATAAAAATCTGCCTTGCCATTTCTCAGGCTGTCTTCTCTTGAGGAAAGAGGCTTGTACCTTACTGTCACTCTGCTTGCAAATTTCTTTTGGATTTCTCTTGGGAATGTTGTGTTTACGTTTTTCTTGGAAGTGACACAGAGGGTGCTCTTTCTGGAAGTGGTGTTTTGATGACACGACTATCCATCACTTTGAAGCCTCCCTGGATGCTTATACTCCCCCACTGAAAATGGGGCTCCCCTGGGAAGAATTCCCTCTGATGGCTTCCCTTGGGATTACAAGAATTCCCTGGGGGGGGGGCATGGAGGCTGCAGCCACAGGGGAGATGATTATGCAATTAAAAACTGGCCACACCCATTGGCTGGATACTTTGGGAAGGCAAACGGGAAGCCAGGGAGGTTGCAGGGTGCTGGAGGGGAGATTGCGCAAAGAAGGGCAGGGGATTCCCACTTAGCTCTTGGCCACCTCCATCGTATGTGGGGCGATGTTGAGTAATGAAGGGCAGGGTGTTCCCACATAACCCTTGTCCACCTCCATCCATCACTAAATAAGTGCAAGACAGAGGTCTGTAACAAAGGGTAGAGTGTTCACACGTTGCCTTTGAACACCTCCATTAATAAATATGTGCAAGAACACTTATACTTCATCTAGGAGAATCTCTTGAAAATTCCTCTCCCTTGGAAGAAACTTCAGAAGCAAATTCTCTTTCCTTGGATCCAATGAGGAGTAGTTGGCGGGGGGGGGGGGGGGGAGACAGGTGATTTTTTTCTGCCTAAAGCTACATGGTTGACCCCCATTGATACCTGCCAGTGGTTTCTAAACAGAATTCACAAAGCCACCAAACATTATGGGCAAAGTGCATGAAATGCAGCATCTCTATATCAATCAGAGAAGATCGTTGGACCGTTGAGGGTTAATACAATAAAATTAAAGGGGAGAGGGGAGGGAAGAGGTGGTGATGACCTACCAGCATGCTTTGTTTGGAAGATTTCCATGTCTGTGGCTGTGCCTTAGCAGTTTGGTGCCTCACAATTGAAGGATAGGCTGGTGGGGAGACACAAGGCAGCTTGGTTACTTCAAAAACGTGCTTTCTTGGCTGCATTGGTGTGCTTTGCTGAATTAGAAAGACACTTCACTGGAGTGCCAGATGATTTCCACCCACCTCCAAGTTAGTAAGATGGAGCAATCCCCAAATGCAGCAGCTTTTGGGCAGTTTGGCATGAATACATATGAACAAATCCAGAGGAAAAGACAGGATAGGAAGGAAGAGACTAAAGGAACTCAGGAAGAAGCCCTGAAATACCATTCTTAGTATAGAGGCTGCCGTCAGACTGCTTGCTGAAATCCCCAGGTGAACTCTGGCCAATTGGGGGGAACTGATACGGCATCTTGCTTCCATTGCCAACTGGAAAATAGAAGAAGCAACATGATGGTGAGGTGGGTAGAACCGTCCAAACTTTCCACCCCTTTGGGCCTGACCCCAAGAGTGCTGCACCAAGACTACAGATCCCAGAGTCTGTATCAGGAAAACAGCAGGATTGGTCAGGTCCGGCACTGGAACCACCATGTAAAAAAGCAGATTTGGTTTTCTGCTCAGAAGCACTGAAAATCTTAACCTGCTACTTCAAGAAGAGGGAAATTGAAAACCTGAACTCCATAGAGGTCAGGAAACCGTGGGAGAATATCCAGCCCTTTGAAATTTTGGGATTTCCATTGGCATAAGCCCAGATGCCAAGTTCTCCTCAAATTTTCCAGGGTCCCCAAATGTATACATGTATTCCTGCAAAGACTGCAACTGATAAATATTAGATCAACTAATTTTTTTTTTTAAAAATCCTGTTTCTAATCATGTCCAATGTTCTTAATTACTTGACCTATTATTCTATTAATAAAGAACTCCCAGAATTGTTAATAATAATTAATAGAATAATGTCATCTTCTGAAAAGCCATTCTCCCTTTTCTCCTGTAGAGGAAACGCAGCTGTTGCAAAGGCGCGTATCAGCTCAAAACAGAATACGCTTCTGTTTTTCAGAAACACCCTTTTTGCCCTGTGAATGGATTGAGCCTCGGCTGAAAGTGCTTAGGCAAGAGACAAACAACTTTTCTCTCTTGACTGTGACAAGCTGGCCCTGTCTGGCTCTTCCTGACTGGAATTTTGACATGGTGCAAAGTTGAATGTGAGGTTTGGTCGGAATGTTTCCGCTCACCCCCTTCTCTCTCTCTCAATCTCTCTCTTTCTCGCTCTCTCTTTCTCTCTCTCTCATGCCTTCTGTGACTCCCACTGAACTGTGTTTGTGAATGCATTCATACATCACCCTAATCTAGGTGCCTTGGGAATCTACTCAGTTGCAATTTATCCTTGCCACCCTCCAGAGCACAGAGCGATTTTTGCTAAGCGATGAAACAATAACACAGAGAAATGACTTGCCTAGAGTCAGGACACCACCGAGTCTAAAAACTGTTGCTCCACAAATCATCTGAATATGCATGGAGCAGGGAATAGACCTGAGTTCATTTACAGCAGCAAAGTCTACCATCTGATTCCAGCACAGGTTTGACAAAATGTTTGAAAGGCCATAACATGCATCAGAATTGTCCTATTGGCATGATTCAGGAACCTTTGAGAAAATTGGGGGTTCCTAGTGGTGCAGATGGAGCCAAATGTCCATCCAAACAGAGGGGCGGTATCTACATAATGTGGTTAAAAGAGTCAGGATGGTGGCCCTGGCAGTATGATTGAAGCTTCACCTGTTTTTTATGTATATGTGTCATATGCTATTCTGTTCTCCCACCCAATTTGTGTTCAGGTCAATGTCTGAACAGTCCTTTACTGTCCTGGGTGTTGTGGCCTTCACAAATTACCTAGCTCTAAAACAATAAAGAAAATCTATCCCAAGATAGATGACAGAGAGAAAGGCCATGAGAATAGGATGACAGCTGTCCTCGACAATAATTGCATTGCAGTTTTAGGGTGGCAAGAGCTTCTTACAGGAGGCCAAGACTTATTTTTACTCTATGAGGTGAACTTTTGCTTTCACACAATGCAAGAGGCTGCTGTTATAATCCTGCCTCCTCTGATCCCCAACCATTCACCAACCTGATCATTCTTGTCTTTCTCAGCCTTCTCCCACAGTAATGCCATCTTGTGCTCCCAAAATCAGAGATACCTCACCCAAAGCGTAGTATCCATAAAGGGCAACTTCTAAGCTTACTTCAGTTGGCAGACCAACAGTATCACCCTGACCAATCTCTGCATGCTCAGGAGGGTACTCTCTTCAGGCCCTGCTTTCAACAAGGAGTTTGAAGGGTAACCAGGTCAAGGGGAGAAGTTGAAGTGGCTCACTCGAATTGAGTTTTTGTTAGAACAACCTCACTGTCTTTGTGAAGCTTTGACTAAATTCTTGAGCGTGTGCAGCTTTTACAATGTACATTCTAAATGTAGATGGCTTAGCTATGAAAGAAGACGGTGAACCCTGGAGATACGGAAAGACTACACCTACAAACAGCAACCTATATTCCTCTCCTGCTACCTACCCTCTAGAAATCTTGGGATTGCAACTCACAGATTCCCACTGGGCATGGGGAATTCTGCAGGTAGCTTTCCCCACGTATCTCGAGGGCAGCAGATATGGGAAAATAAATAAAAGCCAGAGTAACATCAACTCTCCTTTCACCGGAGTCTGATGCAAGAAAACATGAGAATGAAGAAAGCAAGTCAGCGATGGAGCTTCTTCTCATGTCCTGGAATGACAGCCATTCAATGGCCTAATGTGACCATCTTCATTACTCAGGACACATGAGCTATTAACTAAGTCAGTGTTTCCCAACCTCAGCGACTTGAAGATCTGTGGACTTCAGCTCCCAGGATCCCCCAGCCAGCAAGGTTGAGGCTGAGAAACACTGAACTAATCCATTAACAGCTCTTAATTCCATGTTCAGTTATTAGCTTCTCTCTCTCTCTCTTATAATACTTTGATCTGAACTCAGCCCATTGGCTCGCCTATAAGCAATTGCTATACATTATGATATGACGGTTTTGATACATGTGAAAGCAGATGGTCTGCAAAAGAATTATAGCCCTGGGCACAGGAGCAGGACTACAGGGAAGGTGGAAACCTTTCAAAAGGATAGAAAAAATTGAGGTGGCGTGACGAATACCTTTCAGCGAGAAAGCTGAGTTCCCTGATGTAAGTGTCTCTTCTGCAGTTTGCATGGTAGAAAATTCCCAAGCTCGTGTATTGTAATTTCCTCCTAAATGAAAGAATACAGGCCAGACGTTAGTCAACAAGGTGGGTGAGGTTCTCCTAGAGTCATCATTGAAACACTGGTAAGCAGGAGATTGGAAGGCAAGAGAGATAATTGACTGTTTGGGGAGGCAATTTTGTTCAGAAAACAAGAGCGCAAAATTGCCCATTGCTCTTACAGCATACTGTAATCGTTCCCTCTGAGTGGACATTCAATTACTCACTCATGGGTTATGCCTTGCTCCAATTATGTTGACATTCACATTGTGCAGCAGAGAAATGGGCAGCTCGAGATGCCCTTTGTGAGTGAGTTAAAGAAAATGGAGAATCATCTCTCTGTCTTTAAAATATTTATATCCCAGCCTTTCTATTTAATCATGGTTTGCAGAGGAGTTAGGGGATCCAAGTCTCCTCTCCTGTTTCTTAGGCCAAGGAAACTGGTGCAAAATGGTTGCTTCAGACTGAAGTCATTAAAAAGAAAAAAAATCTCCAAGAAATGTAGATGGCAACTGGGTACGTTGTTTAGGAGGGTGTGTTTCATACCTTTTGGATTCAAGAACATGGAAAACCTCTTCAGGCTATCAGGCTGGTTCCAGTCAGAGAAGTTGTTCATCATGTAACGGTGATCCCCTGCAAAATTAGAAGACCAAAGCAAGAACCTTAGTTATTAGGAGATAAACAGCAGCCACAAAATGAGGAGGATTAGATATTGCTTTGTGAAAGCAGGGAGCCCTGTCTTTTTAGCTAAGATGGAAGTCTTCCTGCAAGTGGAAATCTGAGGTCAACAGCTGAAATTGGTCACCAGCAGGCAAGAGCGGTGTGAATTGTTTAGTCAAGTGTCCAGATCAGTAGGGAGAAGATTGCAAGCTAACCATGAAGAGAAACAAGGGTCGCTTGTTCGAACTTCAGAGTACAGAAGTTGGCTCCCTGCATGGACTCATGAGACTCTGTGCAGAAATCTCATTGGAAGCTGACATTTTATGGTTTGATCTGCCTTTTGTAACCATCAACCAACCTCGACAGATGCCTCCTTCCTGTTCCTTCTCCACTGTTCCAGTTCAGGTGATAGGAAGTTATCACTTTGGGCACTGCCCATTGAATTCATCCATTGGGAAAATTGCAGTGCTGTTGTCTTTAAATGAGATGCCAATTAAAGAAGTGAATATTAAGGTGTTTTTTTTTTCCTCCTGGGCAAAAGCAGGTGAGGTAAGCAGGGTTTTGGCTGGCTAGACATGGCACATACTATTTTCCTCTTTAGTTGTCCATGATTTATCAATACCTATCAGCTTTTAATCATTTCAAACTACATAATATGAAGACCCAGTGAAGTCTTCTCCTTCCAGCCTCTTATTTTGAAGGCATTGACAATCTTGCCAGAATAAATATATCTGTATTTTATTAAAAGCTAAAGTTTTGTTTTAGTGAAGCTCAACTCCTGGTTGCAACACTGCCGCATTCATGTCATTTCTTGGCAAAAATAACAGAAATGGGTTGCCACTGCTTATCCCAAGATAGATAGATAGATAGATAGATAGATAGATAGATAGATAGATAGATAGATAGAGGGTTAGGGTTAGGGTTAGGGTTAGGGTCTATCTATCTATCATCTATCATCTAATTTCCCAGTCTAGCCCATAGTC